AAAAAAATATAACACTAAATAGCATTCTTTCAACATTAATCGTGTTCGAAGTAAACGTTTTTTCCCCTCAAACAACTCTAAATATATTGCGAAAATTTGCCGTCGCAAAACATATAAATGCTAACATGTGATCGAGACACGAAGTATAAAATATTCTTTCTAAGCCGCTGTCCAAACATACTGGCTCACTACCACATAATGATGCTCACTACCACATAATGATGCAAATGAGTATAATGATGAAAGCACCGCGTATAATGCTCGAACCACCGCGTATAATGCTCGAACCACCGCGTATAATGGTGAAAGCACCGGGCGCAACGCTAATTGCGTATAATAACGAAAGCACCGCGTATAATGATGAAAGCACCGCGTATAATGCTCGAACCACTGCATATAATGCTCGAACCACGGCGTATAATGCTCGAACCACCGCATATAATGCTCGAACCACCGCGCGTAACGCTAACTGCGTATAATGACGAAAGCACCGCGTATAATGTTGGAAGCACCGCGTATAATGGTGAAAGCACCGCGTATAATGCTCGAACCACCGCGTATAATGGTGAAAGCACCGCGTATAATGGCGAAAGCACCGCGTATAATGGCGAAAGCACCGCGTATAATGGCGAAAGCACCGCGTATAATGTTGAAATCACCGCGTATAATGCTAGAACCACCGCGTATAATGCTCGAACCACCGCGTATAATGCTTGAACCACCGCGTATAATGGCGAAAGCACCGCAAATAATGCCGAAAGAACCGAGTATAATGCTAAAAGCACCCAACAAAATGACGTTTGATCACTTAAGACAGCTATGGCTTTCCATATTCGTGTCCACGGTGTCCTGCTGCGCGGTTCCTTTTATCCTTGAAATACGAACCGTCTATAGACCACAGGCTAAGTTCACTAACGCTCATACCGTACAGCAACGGTTTTCAACTGGTTTTCTCATGTGTCCCCGATTTCACATGATTGAATTACCACGTCCCTGAACAGAAATTGCCCACTGAAGTCTATCAAAAACACGAATTTCGAAATAGTTAGTAAAATAGTAAATGATTTAAATTTTAAATAATAGATAGAAAGTCAAGCAAACATGTTTATAGTACAAACTATTGTATTCAACTATTGTATTCAACTATTGTTTTCTCAGTCCTAGACCAGTTTGTGTCCCCTAGGAATTTGCCAAATGTCCCCTCTCGGGGACATGTCCCCCAAGTTGAAAACCGTTGCCGTACAGAGATGTGTATAAATTCTTAGTAAAGTCTTTATTGTAATATGTTTTGTCAGGTCGATAGTCATTTCCAACGCATATAGAATCGAATATGTCGTTGTTTTTATAATCACTGCTTGTACAAGGGTCATTGGGGTTAATATTAGTGCAAGGGGTCTGTTTTATATCGTGTAATGTCATATTTAAACACGACATATCAGTTTGATCAAACATTTTATACGTATTAGAAAAATATAGTAATTAGTGATATAGCGCGCGACGGTTGGACATATTTACGTTAGTCTATATCGAAGGAATGTTGACGAATGACGAACATATAGGTATATAGAATCGAGTATGTCGTTGCTTACATAATGTTTGTAAGGCCACGTCATTGGAATCGGGTTAGTCGAATGTGTAAGTTAAGGCAAATAGAAAGCCAAGCACAGTTTACACAAGGATTAAATTAGGCAGTGGAATGTTAGCGCTTTTTTACTTAGGGATATATTTGTCGAATATTGAAAGCAAATTGAATGTCATTACCAATATATATGAGATCGATTATGTCGTTGTTTAAATAATTCAATCATCACTAAGGGACCGCTCATTATTTATTGTACAGGAGGGGACTGAGGAGAAACTCTACAGTTATAATATTTTTTCGTGGCCCCCCTCTTAAGACAACTAAAGTTTTCAAAGCCCCCCCCCAACAGCAAAACAAGAACATAAATTTTGCGCCCCCCCCCCGTCTAGCTCTTTATCTTTATTTAGAGAAACAAAAACTTTAGCTGTTTATTTTAGAGAAACAAAAATAGGTAATAGGGACCAATAATAGTATTGCCAATAGACAATTCCCATTAAAAACAAATTTTTTTATCTTAGCAAAAAAAGTATATTCCAGGGAACGGCATACTAAAGTTAGTAAAATTCCAAAGTTTGGTTGCAAAATGTTGTAAAATATGTAGAAAATATAGCCTTCCAAAGTTTGCAAATTTTGTATTCTTTTGTATTGCAATTTTCGCATGCAATACAAAAGTGTACAAAATTTGCAAACTTAAGAAGGCTATATTTTCCGTATTTTACAACATTTCCCAACCAAACTTTGCAATAATTTACTTATTTTAATAGTATGCTCTTTCTAGCTGTTGTGATTTATTGCACCAAGACCGGATTTTGACGGGAGGTGTGGAGAGGTGCGCACCACCCCAGAGATCGTTTTGCACCTCCCCTGAGAATTTTTCCACCTCTCCTGAAAGGTCATGCACCTCCCCTTGGGAAAGTTTCAATGATGGAACAAAGTAAAAATGTGATGGTTGCTTAGGATGCACACTTCGTGACGTAAGAAAGTTTTCTCTGTATAATTGAAACAGTGATAGCCATTCATCTCTGTGTCAAGTACCCTTTTAATGCAATGTTTTGAAAGAAACTTTGTAGCAATTGTAACGAAGGGCAAGATTGGAGTCATACAGTCATAATTCATTAATACACTGGTACATATGTACATATATGTACACTACATGCATACCTCACCTTGTTGATATTGGCCTGTCCTACAATAAGCCCTAACTTTACATGGGAGTTGTTGGCTAGACCGCTGCACCTCTCCTAAAATTTTTGTCCACCTCCCCCACTATTTTCACCAAAATCCGGCCTTGGTTTGCATCTCTTTGCCTAGTTCTAAAATTAGTCTATAATGGGAATTGTCTATTTACATGAACATGAAAGACTTTTTATTTGACTTCCATTTATGAATATTAAAGGTCTATAAACATTGTTATTTGTTGTTAAGTTGTTTTGTGATTAAAACTACTAATGTTTTTTCAAACTGGTAAATATTTTCAAAGCCCCCCTTCTTTCGTCTCTCTGTATTTTTTCAAAGCCCCCCCTCTCAAGTTTTGAAAAATTTAAAGGCCCCCCCTGTTTCTCCTCAATCCCCCCCTGTACAATAAATAATGAGCGGTCCCTAAATAAATATATGTTGATCTTTTTCAAACTCCGCCGGAAAACATCGTCCTTAGATCTTTGCATGGACTATCCTTGAAACTCAAACTTCACGAAAATTGTATATACGCAGCCTGTAAACGTGATGCTTTGTCTTTGATGTATGCTGTCCTTGAACAAGAACTGTTCTTGTCTTAAGTGTTTTTCGTACTGTCTGTATTTCGGCGTGTGATGTATTTTGTTTCGTATGCATATTAAAGACCTTGTACTGTTCTGTCTGTTCAGTGTGCAAATTATTTTTGACACATTAAAATACTTGTAACTTCTTAAATCTGTTTATGCTTATTGAAAAATGCACGTAACAGTCGTTTACGTATTTTTGTCATATCTGATGTTCAGTATGTGATTAAATGTGTGTATAATATTTGAATTGTGTTCAATTTACTTAATACTTTCTTTCAGTAAATTCGAAATTTGACAATAGCAATTAAGGTGGAGTAATATACTAATATGGGCAACAAAATTGCTGCAACTTGCAACAAAATCTCGGCTGATTTCTGCGCATGTTAATTGAAATGTTTTGTCAACATTTCTACTTAAAATGCGTTGAAATCAGATTTTGTTGCAGAAATTTTGGCTGCAGCAATTTTGTTGCGCGTATTACTCCAAAGTCCAACCTCGGTATTACTCCAACTTTAACAACAATTAATGCAGGCTACCCACATGTACGCAGCGCGTACCTATTTTTAAGCCTTCTTTTGAAATAATTTTAACAAACAGGTTTAATTCATGCACATGTTCACAATTGACAAGCGAAGACAAGCGCTACTTCTGACGTGCATGATACTGGCCGTCATAATTAAAAATACGGCTTTATTTGATCACGTGCCCTATGTCAAAACAAAGGCGAAGATTGAACTGAGGATTTCTGCATCCCATGCACCTTATTCTCATTTTGATCGGATTTGATTCCCTTACATACGTGATTCAAAATCTTTTCGGAAAAAGGGTATGTATTTCCCGCGCGTAACACAATATGACTGAAAATTGCAAACTTCGCAAGGCTATATTATCCGCATTTTACAACATTTCGCAACGAAACTTTGGAATATTACTAATTTTGTGATGCTCTTACAAGCTGTGATAAATTTTTTGTCTAGACTAGTCAAAAGGTGAAAGGTCCATTAATGGTACAGTCCAACACAAGCTCATGCAGAGGAGTATAGCCAACCCCCAGCGGTGTCTAATGAGCCGGTCGGGAGCATGGTCCCCCGCTATTTCATGCACTTCAGACATTTTTTATGATTATCTGAAAGTCACAGATTTGATATATTTTATGTCATAGATGAAAATATTAAGAGGTTGCTGCCCCCCCCCCCAGTTTCTCCTCAGTTTTGAAATAATTTTAAAAAATGGTCCTGAAGATAATTGCGGGGGCGGATTCCCTCTCCCTAGCTACGCCTTTGAGCTCATCAAGTTGGTTCGGGTCTAAAAAATTCAATCAAATAGGAGTCAAATATAACCTGGTATTAAGAATATTAATTAAACCCATATCAAACCATATCAAAAGAGACAGCTTCTCCTAAAATCTTACGTACAACTCAATAATAAAACCTATCTATTGATCAATGGTTCAGATTCTAAATTGGCTGTAGTCAACACGCACGTTATTTTTAATAAGATAAATTTGTTAAATAGATAAATCGATTTCATTAGTCAAAAACATGGCGGATCTTGGCGCCATTTCAAGTGACCACGCTCAAATTTGGATCGGTTTCCCCGTTATTTGTCACGCTGTTTATAGGTTAGGGTTAGAAATGTGAACCCAGAAATAGCGAGACCTGAATCTACAACCAAGAAAGGAACCAAATCTGGCGGATGCTGACGCCATTTCAAGTGACCACGCCCATGCTTTGGCGACACTTTTTTACCTCGTTCACTTTCTCCAATAACATTATTTTGTTCAGTGTCTAAAACTGATATGAATCCACCTGCTCAAAAAGCAAATCATTTTGCGAGAATCCTACTTGCAATAAACAAAATAAGAAGTATTACTACAATGTTAGACATTCTTTCAAATGCGAAAACGACTCTCTTACTTCATAGTCTTCCTTTCCCTTAACTAACATTTCTTATCTTTAATAAATATTCAACTATTTACAGGTAGAAATCAGTTATAAATACACTATAGTCTACAAATTTTTGCTTTCTAATAAACATTGTATTTTATCGAGAGTAATCTCTAGGACACTCTGGGGAAGACGAGTTCTTACTTGGTAGAGCAGGAAGTGGTCTAAAATGTCCCTCTAATCTACTGTAAGGTTCAAATCGAGGCGGAGTGTAAGATAACTGTGGTTCAAGACCACGTATATGTATGCTGGAACATGCTCGGTCTGGTAGTTCATAATCATGACATAAGTGACAGTAACCGCCAAACACAGACGATTGACGCATCGCTTGTAAATTCATCATGTTCTTATTTCGTCGCCATTTTGCTCTTCTATTGGAAAACCAAACCTGAAAACAGCCATAAATTTATTGAATATAAATGGTCATGAAATATAGAACATTTAATAATAATTTCATTTGTTAAGTTAGGTTATTTCGATTCTTTTATATAATATTTCAAAGGGCTTATAGTCCAAATGCAAAAGGTGAAAATAAAAAAATAAAAACTGAAGTAAAATGTTGATTATGACGTCAATAGGGAAAATTGTGAAATGCGTTAATTACAATGTTCAAGCAGCTCTTGGCCTAAACAGTAGGACATTGTAGAACATACAAGAATGGACGTATGGGTTTCAGTATAGTAATATTATTTTACTTTTAATTAGCACAAACTGAGGATAAGGCATATAACCACGGAGAAAATATATAACCCAGGGAGCTGTAATGGGCTCATGCCCTGGATGAGACGAAGTTGGGAGTCGGAGTGAATAATAATACTTTGGGAACTCTGTAAATTCAACTAAATTATATATACCTGTACTCTCGCTTCAGACATGTCTATTTTGTTTGCCAATTCTTCACGCGTTGCTACATCCGGATAATGAGACGTTTCGAATTCTTTTTCCAAAATCTGTAATTGATCCTGAGTGAATGTGGTTCTGTTACGGCGAAGTTTCCTCTTCTGATCGACTTGCATGTCTGAACTAGTAGGCTCCGATTTTGAAGCATCTTCTGTTGTTTCTGAAGATGATACGTTGTTTTCATCTAAACAGAAATAACAGTTCTTCACTTTCACTGTCCAATATGTAATTCCCAAAATATCCTAAATAGTAACTGTGATGATTTCATGCAAGCGTTAGGATGTTTTTTTTTAGAAAAGCGAGAGAGACATCACAATCATAATCCATTGAGAACTTAAACCAATTATATGATAACATTTGTACATGATAACACAACTATAGTAATAACCAGACCTAAATGTAGCATCCCATTATCTTGAGAATCCCTTGACATACCAACAATTTCGTTCCCAGATCGTAAAAAAATGGCTTTTCAGAATTAACCCCGGACCCACTTAGAGTTTGTCTATCCATATATTTCCGCCATCAATGTGTTATCTCCATGCTGTTCAACATTTACTTAATCCATTTTGCCCCCCCCACTCGCTCACTTATGATTCACCTCCATTCTTTGTGACCCCCTCTCCGCGTTATCGTGATTAACTTACCATCATTTACAATGTGTTCTGTACTATCTGCAGGTGAAGATAGTGTTGGGGATTGCCAAACACGTTCTTCCTCCCGTGAAGTTTTTATGTCCTGTACAGTCTCGTTTGATCTTGGTCTTTCATGACTATTTGGCTCTTCTTTGTGTATTGGCGTGTGTGCTGGTACTTCAGAAATAACTCGAGCGTTCGGATATATTGGATAACTAAATGGTGCCATGGCAACGTCTGGTATAGGACTCCAATGTTGCATGTACAGCCCTGTAAGATGCTGTCGTTCTCTTTCTAACATGGCGTACTGTGCAGCTCGTTCAGCAGCTTTATTGCGAAGTATCCTATTGATGGAACTAACACTTGGAACGTTATCTCTATCACATACTGATTCTTCAACCAATCTGTCTCGTATTTCCCAAGCGAAGATCGTCGGATTTTGTTGTTTATATTGAACAATTTTACTCACAACAGCGGGTGTTGCAACTTTAGGTTTACTACCTCCGATAGATCCAGGTCGAACAGTTCCTGAATCATAGAAACGGCCAAGAATTTTACTAATTGTTCCATGAGATACCATGAGTCTGTTAGAAATCTCGCAATATGGCACACCACAACTGGCCAACTGAACGATTCTGTGGCGTATGTAGTCTGGTAGTTGTCGACCATTATTTATGTTTCCACCAATTGCATTTAATCCAGAGGTTCCATGATAAACTACAAGACAAAATATTAAACATTATGTAAAGTACATGGATGGTTATATTATAGTTGTAATAATATATATGAAAAATTCTCAATTCTCGATTAGTATCTTAATGTTAATTAAATATTAATTAAAATTATTTGAGTAATTATTTACGACATTTTTGCGTTTTTCCAAAAACGTATGTCCTGAGTAAAATAGTGCACGAAAAACGTGAACTGGGGGTGACCAGCTACACAAAGCAATGGGCTATTTCTAGTGAATTTCACGCGCGTGTGTTGCCATAGTAACGAACTATGTGTCACCAAAACTAACATAATTCGAAAGAAGAAACATTAAAAGAAATCCTGATATCTGCTGCATAAAATCTGATTAAAAATACGACGTTTAAAACTGTTAAACTGTTATACATCCTGAAGTTTTGAAAATGTATCGACACTTTTTCCCTTACAATTTTTTTTACAATATTGTTCTCATTATAGCATACGAGATAGAGGGCAATTACCACTTAAAATTCGGAAAAACTCCAGAAATTCTGACTGGAGGAAATTGAAGAAATTTGAAATTAAATTCCAGGCAGGCCGTAATCACTTCAGCTCGATATAAAACTGTCAACACTGTGAGATATCACAAGGTGATGGATTAAAATTCACATTGTTTCATGACATCACAGCCATTCATTCATTCATTCATTTACAGGCCAAATTTTAGTCTGACCCCGGTAAAGAAACCACATATAGTTATCTTTTTTTTCATGTAAAGCATGAGCAGTACATGGATGGAGTATAATAGCCTTAAATGCTTATAATCGGTATTGCGTGTTAAGTGGTTACAATAAAAATAGTGAAAATCTTTCAGTGAACTGAACATAATAAATAGGCTATTTGTTTATATACACTGTTGTTTAAAGGTGCCCTACAGTCCAATCTGTGCACAAAGGAGCCCACTTTTTATGATACAAACAGTTTAACTATGTTTTGGGTTCTTTCAAGTTCTTGCAAAGCCTGATTGTTGTTTCTTGATCATTTATTATACTCTAGAAGCTTGAAAATATAAATAGTTGTGGAATAAAGCTCAATATTTTCGACACAAAAATGTAAAAAAGGCTTTGTTTACATACGGACTGTAGGGCACCTTTAAAGAAGCCAATTATCATCACGCAAAGTAAATAAATTTATGATATAGAAAAGATTATGTAATCTTTAATATCCCAGGAGTACGTCATTCAATTGGCTATCCATCTCTTTGACTTTATACATTTCATATCTGACATTTCACTAAAGAAATCATAAACCAAGGCAGAGCCATCGAGAAGAGGCTAAAGGGAAGTAGTATATAGGCCTATCACATTTACCGATAACATTTCAGCCGCTATTTTATAATATTTCTTTTCCCAAAACTGTTGGTGACGGGGGTAGGGACAAAATCATTTCCCCAAAAAGATGTTTTCAGGGGGTGTCACACTCCCACCCCTAGCGACGGCCCTGAACCAAGGACCAATGCCAATTTCATAACGATATTTTAGTGATGGGACAGGTAACTTTGAATAACTTTTATACATGTTTTCATGGACATATCGTCACGCAATGGCTGTATATATAGTGGGCACCTGAAGCCGTTTACTGGACAAGCACCTGACGCCCATTCCTGTACTGTCAAATTAAATTATGCCGAATGAATTTAAATTATGCCGAATGAATTGAGTATGAGCATTAATTGATTCTTTGTTAAGATTGGACGTCGACAATTTGCTATAGACCACCTAAAATAAGCATATTAATAACAACCACGTGTTCGCTCTGTTGTGTTGTGTTATGTTTTAAGTTCTAGATATAGATTGTCTGACAGCTTTGAAGTACTTGAGAACTCAGCAAGGTTATTTTATTTTTGTTTTGAGTATAAGTTCATACATAGTCATAGATATCCTGCGGCAAGTTAATTAATGTCAAAAATTGCTGTTGAGGTAGAATTTTCGGCAGGTTTTGTAGCTGGTGATGACCAAAATTGAAACAAATAAGCAATTATTATTGTGTTACAATAGATTAAATTAAATGCATTTGCCTATTAATGTTATGGATGTATGTATGGCTAAATTTCGAGTAGATAAGTGGTCAGCAATATCGCGGCAGCAAATCCAGGGTAAAGGCGTATTCGCGTTCCTGCGGCAGCGAAACCTACTTTACACTATATGGATACATGCAACTTGCACAAGCTGTCAGTAATGAGAAATATAACGAACTAAAAATTGCCAAATTATGCCGTAAACACTTTCCCCACAAGTCCACAGTTCTTGAGTAGTTGAGATATTCAGTTTTGCTAAAAAATCCTTTGCCAATTAATTGGATCGTTTCTCAAGAGGTCAAGCATGTCGAGTTCTAACTAGTATTCTTTGAAATCCAAATATTTTCCGGCACTTTACACGACGGGGAAAATATCAGCATAAATCAAGTCAATCAGAGCAGTCTTTCGATGATTTACACAATTTACACAGCATCTTCATTTTCTATGCTTGATCAAACATGATATTTAATCGACTTCCGCTCGCCAGATATCATTTTATATTTATCAGAAATTGATTTCATTTTGAAATTTTCATCTGGACGTTTTCCAACTTTACTAACAACAGCCATACAAACATTGAGCACACAATAACAATCATACATGCACACGGAATATATAAATTTTGAAACTCCGCTGACAACGAGGTTATTTTTCGTTCTCAGCATGACAAACTTTTTTACTTTTAAGTACCACATTTTGTAATTATAGCATTAATAAATCGGTATAGCCAGTAGATATATGCATGAGCGCTTGTTGCTCAAGCGTGTGCCATATTTTGCCTAACTTATTGGGCCACATGCCGGACTCGATACTCAGATACTGGATATTGACATTCATTCAATACTGTATGTATATAGTCTAGGAATGGCATAAGGTTGTTAGTTTTTCCTGGTTCAGGTACTACCTAGGTGGCATGTGTTATGGATAATGCTAAAGTTACGACCTATTGTTCACACAATGAAAAGCAAAGAGAGATATATAAATGCTTAAACTCAAGAATTTACTATACATGACACCATCACTCAAAACTTAATTCTCTCATGACACTGTCTATTCATTTCCATTGCAACTGCACGTCAAGCACTAATCCAAAGAAAACAATGCTTGGGAAATAGCATGGCTGTGCAGTATAGTACTAAACTCGTTCACTTGAGCTCCTTACAATGACTAGTAAAATATAATTTTCACCACGTGTCTGATGCATTGTTTGCGATAAAAAGTCGTGACATTTTATTTGCCATAGATAACACTATAGTAAAACATGCAGTACAATATTTTAGTCAACCATTCCTCTTCACTTTGTTATTTTTATTTATATTGAACAGTTACAAGCGAAGTTTCAAAATCAAACCCACAAAAAGTTTATCATGTTTTAATTTAATCATGGCATTTTTAAAGTTATAATAATTACTGAAGACCGAACGATCGAATCATTAGTGCCTTATAGTGGTTATTGAGAAGGGGAGAGAAAATTCTAACACACAACATGCAGGCTACTCCAGTGCCCAAGTGGGTGCACAAATGTACGAAGTACATTCACCAAGGTCCAAGAAAAGAAGAGCAATAGTTTCACAACTTTTTAAAACTGCGTATTTGCTTATCGTAGTTTATGATCATATTCATGATTAATGCATTTGGAGTTACACGTTACACACAACAACGCTTGCAAACCAGTTAAAATATGCACTTAATAATATTCTAAAGCGTATCTTGTAGTATGTACAAAAACAAGCATTGGTAGTTCACTAGTCAATTTAACAAAATCTTAAAGAATCTAGGAAATAAGAAATTACTTAAAATTAACCTCAACATGGATCACTGCCATATTTTAACCGTGAAGCCACAACCAAGGGAAGTAAGTCTTGCATGAGTTTGAAGTTCAAACAGTTGGACTGGTTATAGTAAACTTAAGAAATAGGTTGTCTGATAGCAATTAAAATGTTTTTGTATTGAAAATATTTTGTATCTTATCGTGTCTCCTGCACCTAGTTTACATGCATGCAGTTAAACTGCTATGCATGATGTAACTCAAAGCAAAACTGGTCACAAAGCTTGCAATTGTAACTAAAGTCTTCAAGGATATTTGAAGTAGTTAGTACAAGAATAAAATATACACATCAAGAGTCACTTTAGTGTTTTGCTAGAAATTATGGAGAGCAGATATTTTTATAAAGAGAACAATGGAAAAAAAGGCGGCTATAGAAGCACTTTTCTGTATGTGACCATCGAACAAGCGAAGTGTTCACTCTCTGCGCAGGTTGAATATAGATTTGACTAAATAAGTATACAACTATTTTTGTTGCAAAAAGTGGATGGAACATGACGAAAAAGAATGAATAATAAGTTCACTTGCTCTCGTGGCTATTGGCCATCAATTGAACCTTATGGCAATGATGGAACAGCAGTGAAGTAAATTTTTCTTCGTTCGGTTTAAATCGTAATAATAGTTCGAGTTTAGGTTAGGTTTCATGCCAAAAACACAAAAAATCAATGCAAGAAAAACCACAATAAAAATAATGCAGTACCTTGACTCGTTGACCAATTCTCCATACTCTCAGCTCGATCCCAAATCAGATTCTTGACAAGTGCTTAACAACAAGACACAGCTTTATGTTAAACAAAATATAAAACGGTTTATCAGCTTTATCAAGCGTATAAATTCATATGAATTCGATAGAAATTTGATGAAAGTAATGGTTTTCGTTGCCTAGCCTTACCTTCAAATTTCCTACAGCCTTGATAAATGACTTGAGCTTTTTTTTAGTTATTTCAATGAGCGGAGCTGAGCAGGTTTGACTTAATCCTTCCGACTACTCAGAGCTTATATCAATTTATCCATTTAGCAAAACAATATTAATTTTGCCGAGTATCACACAGATGTTCACAAACGTCGTTATTAAAACGATTTCCTTTCAATTCAATGGACGTTGAAGGGACGTTCGTTGGCAGGCCGTTTGTACTCCTAACAGATACGCCCTTTGTACTGGCTTTCGTATGGGATTTTAACAACATTTTAACAGCTGTTGCTTTAACCAAAACAATAGAAAAGCAGACGGCAGATGGCTTTTAAATGATTTTTCTCTTTTAACATTGCGTACGATTAGAAGTTCTAATCTAATTAGATCGAGTGAATATGCAAAAACGCCCCTCTCCATTGCCCTCATATCAAATTTCTCATTTAGATTTGAAGACGCTCGCACACTTCGTAATTAAATTCAACGACTTTAATAAGGGTTATGTCGCTTATAATAATCTTCAGTAATCATTTTTCTCTAAGATGATTGATTTTTCGCCACGACCTATATCGTATGCTCACCCCAAAAGCATTCTCTATTAAAGGATTTTGTTCCCCATTACACAATGCCCAATGGAACACATTTTTCTATGCAATAAAATCAACAGATATAAAGACGATCCAGTTTAGTGAACGGCTTAGAGCAAACGTTTGCTTATATAAAGGATTTTGATTAAATTCTGTGTACTGTGGGTAAACTTAACATTCAATAAGCCACTGCTGCCTCACGTCCAACGTGTCCAAGCAGTTTAGAGTCGGCAAGAACAATGGGAGCATAGGTAAAGCGCAACGACACAGTTAAATCGCTAGCCAAACACCACATATTGTACCTGTTTAAGCATACAGAAAAAATCAAAACTGTTTATCATGACGAATATGACATGAAGACTCTTTAATAATTACATATTAAACTGTGCTTGCATGTTTCTCCTTTCAAAACTAAAAGTAGAATATCTTGGGTAAATTTATCAACTTTCGTATCCTGTTTTTATGCAATTAATACCATTCCTCTAGAACATTCTAAAAGTGTAACTTTTTTCAAGTAGACCTCTCAAGTGAAACTCTTAATATTTGATCATAACATATCCTATTAACATGTATATTAGTTGGGAAGAACATTTAATTTGGAAGAAGTAAATCTGGACATTTTCGTATGGAGATGAATTCTGAAATGAATCATACGTGACTAAAGAAGAACTAAAAATACTTCTGCTGTGTCTATTTGACATTATTTATAATAATGCTTCACTGAAATGTCATATTTTCACTTTAAAAAAATTTGAAACAATAAGAGTGGGTTATACAGGCATTAACGAACTTGTGTATACCTTTTATAAGATATGTAATTAATAAAGGCTTTTCTTGAAAACACTGTTTGGTATGTTGAGCTCTGATGTCGTAAATTATTTCTTTATTTAAGAACCGGACACGAATAAACTGCTTTTCAGCAGAACAGAGAGCGCAGGGTCCTGGGGTGATAAATAAACTTCATAGCACTGTGTGTTGACGAGACTTAAATGAAAATCGGCTTAATTAAGACATAATGAAACGAATTCATTAAGAGGCTGCCGTTTTTATTGTATTGTTTTGCTTTGTTTAACTTTCGGCTTTAACTGCTTTGGCGCAGCTAAACATGCATGCATGCATGCTTGTTCTTCTAACACTTTTAACTTTTCTTATGTCACTGAATACCATGCGCTTTTCATCCACTTGTTAAATATAGTTGCGCTTTTTTGTGCCTTAACATACGACATGACAGCTGACTTTTAGCTTGAGTGCTTTAGTCGCTTTTTTTCTCATTTGACGCCGAGCAATCATCATTAATGCAATTACTTGATATATAAAGATATATGAAATTTGAATAAACTAATATTAAAAACGATGTTTTGCACAGCGTGAATGAAGTTTGAGCTATGATAAAAGTCGATGCTTTAGTAGTTTGGACTTCGACTATGAAATGCTATATCTATTTTTTCCTTATTCGATGATTCTCAAAATTATAAAATCAGTCAAGGTTTATCTTTATTAAATATTAAAAAGTAAAAAGTAAAATACAAAGCTTGTCTAATGTTTAATAAAGCAAAACGAAGGTCACGAATTTCAACATACAATTTCAACATACTTAAATATTCACCGTTATACTCCATTTATCAGGTTTTCATCATGAAAAACATGTCGTATTTTAAAATTTAATAAATTTTACTGTTGATGACGTTAACTACAGAATATCAACATAAAATATTGATAAAGTGCTATCTTAAAGTTATGGAGTTTAAAGATTGCTTTTCTCACATGCAATCAATATGATGACACTTTGTTAGCCATGGAATAATCACAATCACAAAAAGATTATCGTTTTATATACAGATTCTGCGAATTGAAAGGCTGCAAAACATTCTCCAAATCGTGCATTTAAGAAAAATCATGATTTTTTGATGCTCATTTTAGTGATCATAAATTCGTATTAACTTCTTTGATCTGATATATTTCCATAAGAATTGCATGTGATTATTATTTTTAAATGCTTCTTTTTTAATATTGGCATGAGTTCGACTGAAGCAATATTTACTAGATTAGTGGGAATATAATGAGTATATGTATAGGTTGTCGGTTGTTGAGTTAAACCGATACAAGAATTTAATTAAGAATACGAGATAAATTCATTTCATGCCAGTTGTGTTAACAAACCTTGTTTAAAATATTTGCTGTAAAAATTGCAATCTGTTCTGAACAAAATTTATTGTGTTAATATCTCTAACATATTCAGTCAGAATTGATAAACATGTATTCAATTTTGGCATGCCTTGAAAAGTAAATGTCGCTTAAAAAGCAAAATGTAATTAAAGTTCATTAAAAATAGGGGCCTGTGTTCTTGCTTTTGATTACATTTCGGTTTAAGCAAATTACTTCCCCAAATTTAATTGCTGTACTACATAAGCGGTTTACTTTTTATCTGCAGATGATATTTCTATTTTCTAATATTGTCCCCTGCATAAAGGTTTGCCATAAAGCTTATACCAGAATAACTGAATTATATATAGCAGACGAAGCTTTTTTGCGTTTTTGATAAGAGAGATCATTGTGAGATTTAACGACGACATAACTGACCCCTATACTTTTCGTCCAATATATATTCTGATGAGCTTGTCAAAATTAAATTCATTATTTGCATGGACTCTTAAGAGAAACTGAAATATTGTATTAGCTGATCAAATGTTAAACTAATCTATTAAACTCAGCCTGGCGCATTTCACTGGCACTGTGTAATTTTTTGGCTTAAGCCACATCTGTGGAAATATTACAAAGTCGTTTTATAACAATTATTTAATCATTTTTTGTGGTCCTCTTTCCAGTAAATATCCCGCTGTTTGTG